AAATATATGGCTTTGGTATGGTTAAGATTGTTGATCATAAGTGTACAACTTTGGTTTCTGAATAAACATACGGGGTTTTTTCGTTTTAATTTCAAATTCTTTTGGGTTTTGAGATAGATAACCATTAATATTAAAATTTTCTTCTACATTTTTCATTTCTTGACAATTAAGGCTGAAAGTAGATTTGGCGTTTAGTAAAAAATTATTGTTTCTTGCATGTTTTAATTTTCCATGGTGATCCACCGGTCCTTAAATATTGGCTTTATAGAGTAGCTACAAGATTTTGATGAGATTTATTTTAATTCTAATAGTTTGTTAAAGTCGTATGATTTTGACAGTTGCCAGAGGCTTATTTAAGACTAAGAGTTTGGATAGTCGTTTAAGTTAGGACATTTCATTTTATACAAGTAGTATTTTATTTTTATTTGCACTAAGATTTAGGTTATTGTCCATGTGCCAGTATTGGATTCGATTTTTAGTAGCAGGAGAATATATTTTGCCTATTAGTGCAGAAGGCTTATTCTCCGATGGATCTTGATTTTTTGTTTTGTTTTTGATATTTCATATAAAATGAGTAAATAAAGTAGTTCTCAAGCCAAGTAAACTACACGTGTTTTGGTATTGAACTATTTGTATAGGCCTTATCTTATTTTGGGTATAGTGTTTCTCGGACTTCACTTTTTCTTCATATCAATAAAAGTATTTTATTTAAACCATTCGAGTATATATGTACTCTGTAGACGCTTATTATTCCATATTTAACTTTGCATATACACATTTAACTCTACATTTAGTTTTGTATATTAACATTTACTTTGTATTTAACATTGTTAAAATACATTGTTTACCGTTCATCCCACGAATTAATGATTCAAAAATCAATACCATATTTTTATTATCAACATCTCTAACTCGCAGCCCGGTCTATGACAGGAACAATGGCCCTGTGTATGAGGAAGCCAGGAGCCCTGACTATGGAAGGTACCGCACGTAGTGCCTCCTAAATGTTGCTGTTCTAGAATGGATCGAGATTGCAGTGATGCTTTATGTGTCTACTAATGTAATCTGCATGTCATGTCTTTGGATATATTTGATGAGTTCAACTTTTAGAACCAATTGGTGTGTTTCTGAAGCTGCATTTGGATCTCTTATTATAGGTATTGGATACTTTATGAATAACCCTATCTTGTTTAATTTGTCGTTTTTGCTTGACTTTGGCCTTGATTACTACTTATAGGTGCACTATGGTATTAGTAATCTCAAGAACATATATGGCTTGCTGTTATGCTTCATTTGGTTTTGGTTTTAGTTTTTTATTCATTTTAGTTACAAACAGTTGATAATTTTTGAGATCATAGTTTCAAATGTTTTGGTTTTAGGATAAGAATTTGGAGTTTTTATGTTTTAGAATTTGAAACCAAATGACCCCCCTTAGGGAAAATTTGATATGACCCACACTATATCATGTATATCTAAGCTAAAAAAATTAATAGTTTAATTTTATTATGATAATCTCTTAAATTGCATGAATGAAGTAACTAAGGACTTATGAATGAAATGAAGTAATTAAAATGAAGTGTCTAATAAATACGGAGTACTACATAGTAATTAATATAAAAATAACTTCTTATTTTTTGATATGACCCACACTATATCGTGTATATATAAGCTAAAAAAATTAATAGTTTAATTTTATTATGATAATCTCTTAAATTGCATGAATGAAGTAACTAAGGACTTATGAATGAAATGAAGTAATTAAAATGAAGTGTCTAATAAATACGGAGTACTACATAGTAATTAATACGGAGTATAAATGTAACATTTTCAAACATCCACCTTCTGTACATGAAAAATAATTTTGTCAACAGGAATATTCAGAGCATTGCCTTTAAAGTGACATTATGTTTAAAGAGGATGGTAGTTTGACATTTACTTTTGCCAAAATACAAACTGCCCCACCTCCGTATTACTTCAAAATTGTACAACATACTTAGTGAATTAACATTAAATTATGTATGCCATTCATGCTTGATCATATTCTTTACAGTCATATGCCTTGGGCCTTAGAGTTACACAATTTCACAATTCTTCCCCAGAAGGGTCGTGCATGGATTCGTTGTAAGATAATTGGTTTTGAACAACATGGAACTTGGTGTTACACATCATGGATTTGTTGTTTGCTAATTTCACTTATATATGATACTATTATAAAATTTATGTCGAATTCTCTTACTCCAAGAATGTGGGTTCATGAAGTTGTAATCTCTATGGTCTCATTAACTCCATTAGATAATAGAATTTCTTTCAAGTTTTAAAGTAAATAATTTTTTATTATGAATTCATAATGACTATTAGCAAAAGTCGGCATAAATTGTGTTGCATAATTGGTCTACTACTTAAAAAATCAAACTTTAATTATGGTGAACTTTACAGTGTTCATTAATTCATGTGTGACAAATCGATAAAGTTTGAAGATCTTAAATTGCAACGAAGATACAATCTTCTAGATCATACTTGCAATGTGCCATGTAAAGATGATTTCTAGAATTTATGATTATATTTCTATTTAACTAATATTATGCAATATTGGTTAGTTGGTATACTATCTACGTTGTACCAGCTACGAAGTATTTGTAAACTTGAAATTTTGTGATATCATCTTATCAATAATTATGTGTTTTTCTTTAAAAATGTATGTATGTCACATATGGAGCATTATGTTTATGTTGTTCTCAACAAGATGACCAAACCTTTGTTTATCATATTGTTCATTATTGTATCGTTTCTCATTCATTAATGTCATGACTCATAATTAACTTTCATACAATAAAAAAAATCTTATGTCGTTTTTTAATGAAGAAGCGACAAAAATAAACAGATACCAATTAAAAAATTAAGTCACTGTTTGTTCATATTTGGTTTGACCATTAAAATATTAGAGCTTTAGATTGTCATATTATTCATCATATGTATCATCCTCATGTGATAGACACAAATGATAAAACTTATAGACTAAGGTCATTATTTTGGGACGGATTATAAAAATATCTAAATATTTAATGAGAGTTATCTATCTTACACCATTTTTTCGATAAAGAATAATGTTCTTCCCATTTGAATTTTCACGGTCTCCAATATTGAAATTTGACCATTAATATCTATATTTATACGTAGATATATTTTATAAAAATTTGATATTTGAAAACTACGTTTCATTATGAATATATTGATATTAAATTTACATCATAAAACAATGTGTTTTTTCCACAAATTGTAGTCAAAGTTTATAAACTTTGACCAAGAAAAGTCAAATGTGAAGAACATTTCCGGACGAAGGGAGTAATATTTATTATCTGCTGAACATTGTGTAAATATTTACACCGACACACACACAAATATAAGCATACTACCTTTGTGAGTGATCAAAGAGTAATGTATCAAAAGACATTTGATCTTAATGATTTAGATATATCATTCCTTTGTAAAAAAAGATTCATTATAAAAATTAATTTTGTTGTTTGTGTATTCTTTGTGTTCAATAGCATATTAAACATAGAATAATAATATATATACGTGTACTATTGGACAATAAGTTATATTACGACTTTTCTTAACTTTTAAAGTTTAAATTGTATTCTTTATATAAATTATATACTTATCATATTATTGCTATATTCACGTACTTTATTTCCATTCATCTCAAAATTAAAATTTTCCCGTGCAACGCACGGGTGGAATACTAGTTTTGTATTAAACCTAAATGCTTAGGGAGTACATTTTTTTTAACTTTATTTAGTGCTTGTTGCTAATGCCAAAAGGAGGAAATGTTTGGGTATATGCAACAAGTGAAGGGGAATAAAGCCTAAAAGGATTGGAATTTGATTTCTTTCTTAAAGCCTAAAAGGTGTTCCCATTAAGATTTAGAATTAGAATTATGCTCCCTATAAATACGATATGATTCCTCCATTTTAAAGATAAAATTTTTGGCCATCACACAAAAGGTTTAGAGACTAAATTGTTTTATTCTCTTGATTCTTTACTCCAAAATATTTTATATTTCAAACATTCTAGAGAAAAATTACTAGTATAATGTTTCTTTAAAACAACAATCAAAGTTCGTGTGTACACACTAGAGGTCATATAAATTTATGGCTAAGCTCTAGGACCGATTCCTTCAACCACATACGTCGTTACTTGCTCACCAAGAGCTTATGTTATTGTAAGGGATCTTGGGTGAAACACCAAGAGCTACCAATTCCTTCACCTTCAGAAAGGTATACTTTTAGCAATAGCTTATATTATCGTAAGGAATCTTGGGTGAAACAACATTTGGAAAATAAAATTTTAAATTTTTGTTGCTCTATCCAAGCGTAGTTTCTAGCCGAAGGATAGGTACGCAACTATGCCACCATACCCAAACATTGTGAATAGCCAAATACCAGTCCTTGCACAGCCTATACGATGTCACCCTTTCACAAATACGATATTAGCTAAAATCCAGAAGACCTTGCACATGCTGATGTCACCCTTGTACAAATACCAGAAGAAAATGAAAACAAACCAAATGAAGACAATAACATAATCAAGTAAGTAATCAATCCCATTTTACATTATAACGAACCATAACAAATATGACCAGAACCAACAATATAACATCAATTAAAATAATCAAAACCTTTTTAATAGCACCAAAAATCATCCAAAGCTCCCTAATAAAATATTCTATACTATTAAAATTCAAATCTGCGAAATCATTCATTCTTTAGTAATTATCAAAGTAGAATTGAGCCATGTACTTGGAAAGGCCAAAGAGAATGACCAAAAAAAGGGTCTTCAATGATGAGGAGGCATGTAGAGAGAAAGAGCACGGCAGAAAAGAACTTCGCACGATCTGCGACAACATCTTTGGCCGCCGCAAACAGAAACACACGGCGATGGCACCACCCTATTCCTACTCATCATTGAACGAGAAGTTGCATATGTTGTAGGGGTAATACTCAATGCTTTAAAATCAATCCATATAGACATTCTCTTAGCCGATGGACATCACATAGAATGCCTACAAGAATTAGTGTGAACTCAAATAAATCAATTAGGAATCTCTTCAAATGAAAAAGAGAGAAGAATAACACCAGACAAAACATAGAAAATGAACCTGCAATTAACATCACAAATTGCTAAGGATACTAAGTTAACCATCACAACAAGCTAAGGACACCATTTTAACATCATAGGAAGCTCAGGACACTCAATGTATAGTACCATCACAGATAAGTTAAAGAGGTGTATCATAGCTTTCAAACCATCATGGCACTCTAAGGAGCCATACAGTACTTTAACATCAGAGACTGCCCAGGACACTTAATTAACCATCACAGCATGCATAGGACATAAAATTCCAGTGCAAATCATGTTTGATATCACCTTGTATACAGTGTTACAACAAGATATGGGTTTGTAGTCTTCAGGTTTCATTGAGCTCATTACCTTTAGGATAAATTAAAGGTTATGCAAGTAGTATTTAATTTATTTGTTTTAAGGTAGTGTCCTCCCTAAAGAACTCTAGTACTGCTTTCGTAACTTGTTCGGGCTAGAACTCCTTTATCAACTCTAACTTCTACTCAATACTAAGACACATTCTTGTTTCAATATTAACAGTCTTACCATGATATGGTGCTGCCTTTTTGGAATTAATGACATCAAGGTGAGCTACTGTTGAGGAACCAACTCAACCAAAAGCTCAAGCTTGTGGTTGTGGCCTAGGAATGATTGTTATATATACTCTAACATGCCCCCTCACGTGCAGGCATGACCTCTTTGAGCCTTGCACGTGAAACCTTAATTTTTTTTAAACTGGGTGGCGGTGAGTTTCGAACTCATGATCTCTTTATCATCAAGGCTCTTATACAATGTCAAAGAACCAACTCAACTAAAAGCTCAAACTTGTGGTTGTGACCCAGGAATGATTGTTATATATTCTAACAGCTACAATGCTAAGTAATTGGTGTACTTCACATGGAGAATAACTCTTAGATGAGAAATAAATGGAGACACTAAATTTTGGATGAATTCCCTATTTGTGTAGAAACCCTGCAACTCACTCCTTTATATGCTGTTTTAATATCACTTTTCCCAAATAAAACCAACCGGAATAGGCTATTCCGTTTCAACCTCTATTATTTATTCAAACGGAGTAGCCTAATTCGTTTCATCCATTTAATTAACACACGAAGTTGGCTACTCCGTCTTGTATTTTTTTTTGATAAATTTTCTTTCTTTGTTGTTAATCATGCGGCCCATGATGTCATTTGTTCCCATTTTTACGATGTCACCCATATATCCCACCTTTCTTTTTTGTTTCAATTTTTTTTGCTCTAAACTTTTAAAAAAAATTAATTATAATTTTTTTTTAAATTTTTAGTTTCTCAATGAAATCAATTGATTTTTTTTACTTATAAATAAATTATTAAAAAATATTTCAATTACAACATAAAGAAAACTTACATAAAGAAAATATAGATGCAAAAAAAAATGTACTATAATAAATTTTAAAAATAAAAGAACTATTTATTGACTTGAAGTGAACTTTAAACAACGAAATTAAAAGAAGAAAAAATACAAGAAAATTATTGATAGAGTACATATAATTTATTCCTAAAAAGAAGATTACAAAATACAATGAATGACAAATTTATTGCTAGAGTACATATAACTTATCAATCAGGGGAAAAATTTCACCATTTCCCATCGTTGCCATGGTAAGTAATAAACATCCCTTATACTTGCAGACAATAACTGGAAGACAATAGTAAAACCCATCTATGGATGCCTTGAAGGACCATAACACATACCTGAACTGAAAAGAAGTTGGTGAAAGGGTTGATTGTGTCTGCAAATCAACAACAGTTCCATGGTTCGGCCCCATTATTGCACTGAGCAAAGGAGCCAAGTTGTTGTACGACCCTTCCCAAGTACCATAGAATCATTGGATCGCTAATAACCGTGCACACCATGCATTCTTGTATGACACAGAGATCTGGAACAACTCATGAACATACATGATAATGAGTTTTACTTTATAGTCAGCATCTTCTTGAATTTTTGGACCTATCAGGGTACTTATGAGTTCATTTGTTAACAATTTGTCGTCTTTGGCTATAGTGTAATCTTGTCTTTTCGTATAAAATGCCGCCATGTTGGTTCATCATTGAGTGGGAGAGGTCGTGAACCAAAATAAACCCCTGATTGATGTCTGGGGAATTTACTGTAGACAGATTCCACACCTTTGAATCCGTCTTGGATTACATCACTACTTATTTGACCAAGAAAGGTGTTGTAAGAGATATCAGAATTTAACAACAAAGATTTCTTCGGAAGCTCAGAGTATTGAACTTCACGATTTACAACTTGTATCTCACCATTTCAATGAGTTACAAAAAGTATACTTTTTGCTTCTGACATTTTTTTGGTGTGTAGAATAATGGTGATGGTGTGTTTGAAATGGAGATATTGGGTTGTATTTATAAGATGTAGAGTGGAAGTAGGAATGTGCAGTTAGGTGGGAGGGGGAATACAGGGGTAGGTGGGTGTGGGATTGGAATCTTAGGTGGGAGTGAGAATGACTGGTTAGGTGGGAGGGTGAATGAATAGGTAGGTGGGAGTGGGAATGAGTGGTTAGGTGGGAGGAGAATGCATAATAAAAATAAAAGATTTATCAATTTAAAATATTATACACTGGCTGTTTGCAAATCGCAACAGATTATTCAACTTTTGCAACGACATAATCAGTTGCGTTAACTATGTTGCTAAATAATTAAAACTAAAAAAACTTAAAAATTAACTGAAACTAAGAATATGAAATTAAAATGGTTTTAAAAAAATTTAAAAAACCTAATTGAAACTAAAAAATAAATGAGCGGTTTATTTGAAAAACAACTTGACCACCCTTTAACTCATCATTTCATAAAATAAGATAGTCGTGTCACCTCTTGTTTTGTTAAATTCTTTATCTAAGTTTTTACTATATAAATTTTAATTTTCAATTCTACACCTACTGTATAATCAAATAAAGTGAATCGAAAATAAATGGAACGGAGTATGCAACTCCGTCTTGCACTGCAAAGAATTTTTTCTCTAACTTGCAGCGACAGGAACGAAAACTTTTTTATTTACATATACTGGTAGTTTACTCGTTAAAACTTATTATCGAGCATTTTTCTTTTTTGGTGTAAAATATTGGTCCATTATTAAAATAGAAAAATGTTATTTGTACATTAATTTTAGTGGGTGGATGGATTATTTCTAGTGGGTGGATGGGGATAATTTTTAGTGAACGAACTAGCTCTCAATTTTTTTTTTGTTTTGGGTATCGGCAAAAGAGAGATAAAATTGGGTGGATGGGATAATTCTAGTGGACAGAGTTAGGTACTCCATATAGATTGGATAATTAATTCAAGTTGAAATGGAGTTACTAACTCCATATTGCACTGCAGGAAAAATTTCTCCCAACTTGCACTCTCAGGAATGCAAATTTTTTTATTACATATTTTGGTCAATTACTCCTATTTTTGAATAAGGAACCCATAAAGATCTTATGGCTCCAAGAGTGACAGGGGAATAAAGGAACGTCTATCAAATTATGAAATTAAGATCTAACTCCATAAAGTAATAAAGATGAATGAAATTCTTTATCAAAATATGGTAAGAATCTTAAATCATAAAAGTAATAAAGCCATGGAGAATTCCAATAACAAATATTGAATTACTTTCTGGAAAACTTTTACAAATAATCAGCCTCAATGATTATACAAGCCAAATAACTATCAATCCCTAAAATGTAGGCCCACTACCACATTATCTAGTAAGTACTCCTAGACTTTAGACTCACTACCACATTACTTGGCAACTACTCCTAAAATTTGGGCCTACTTACACATTATTTACTAAGTAACTAGTAACATATACGAAATATAAAATAAAACATTTTACCTCAAAAACAAATAACACCATATGTGGCACTCTATCAAAAAGAAGATAGAAGTTCAGGAAATAAGAAAGCTTCGGGTTGACCAAGTACGATGGGACCGGCCAAAGAATGCCCCTAGTATAAGAAGACTTGGGCACTCCCGCACACAACGATGGAGACAAATAATGGTGCGAACAGTCCATATAAAACCATGTATTAAAAGGTAACATGTTACAACACAATGAGGACAAAATGAATCTCATCTGAGTAAAAAGTAAGAATCAAAATCATCCCAGGCAGAATCAGTTGCGCCGATATCCAGACGCAAGCTATCAAGAGCCCCGGAGGAAATTTTCTCATGTGACTTGACAACTAAAAGAAAGAGGGCTGAAATTAATGGGTTCCCAAGGAATGGCCGCATTGTTTCTCCAAGTTTAAGGAGATCAGGAAGCATTGACGTGGTGTTATCTTCCGCCTCACTACTTATGATGCAGCTCGACACGGCATGAAAAGCGAGTAAATTCGCATAAACAGGTAAAAATGCATCCTTGTGGTTACCGATGCCACCAATCCAATCATCTTCTCCGCGAGTGACAGTATAATCATTAACAAATGAAATCAACTCTTGACAAAACCTCCCCCTCCAAGTCAGCAAGAAACTCCAAATGATATGTCTGTCATAGAATTTAGTGATGGATTCTGAAGTTGGAAGCTTCTCCAGGTGGGAACAGCACATCTGAGAGATCAACAGCTTTTCTTCATGATGGTTATCAATCTCCTTGTCAAAGACACGTCTCACAGGGCCTGCCGTTGATGCCACATGAACATATTTTGCAGTGCTCAGAACCCAGTGGCAAAGAAAGTCAAAATAGTCAAGCCAATGACCAAAAGTAGACGAAAGATGCTCAAAGCTCATTTCAATCACTTTCTCAACTTGGGTGGGAACTACTTCGGATGAAAAGCTACTTAAAGAGGTAAAACACTTTTGTATCACCAGAGAAAGCTGCTTCCTAAGTCCAACATCTTCATCCTCTAGCAGCTTTATGCAAGTAAACCATGATTCCAGTATCTTATGAGCATATGCATTAAGAACATCCTTGTGTTTGTTGCCATCGGGAACTTGTTGGTAATGAGCGAGAAAAGGACTAAGATGCTGAGCTTGTTCCAGCAAACCAGATGCTACTACTGATTGGGCAGCTGCCCTCCGCATGTTTATAGGCTCTGATGGATCACTATGCTCCTGAATAACATTGATAAAATAGTATATGCGCTGACTGAAGATAGATAATTTAGATGGATCAGAAGGTTTGAACACAATTTTATTGTTTCCCAAGCCACAGATGGAGCTTGTAAACAGCTCAACTAACCGTTTCGTACAAACAGCCATGCAGCAAACAAGCATCTCTCGAGTCTTTGCATGCCTGTTGACATTGTACAAGGATAACACCTTGTCCCAAAACTGAAGGACTGAATCATTATCCATACTCCCAACAAAACTTGGTTTCATATCTTGTTGACTATTTTTATGATATTCCTGCATGTTGAAAGTGTAGATAATCTTTAAAATACAGTTCAAACATTTATGATTCTTCTCCACATCCAACAGCTTCATTAACATAGCCTGGAGATCAATATTGCTCAACCAAAGCATTTTCATCTCGCTGTAGGATCTATCGCTGCTCCCGGAATTCGAGTCTGGGGTGTTCAGGAAAAGAAGAAGCCACTTAAGTGTTGCAATTCGAACTTCATACGATCCATCAGAAATGGATCGAATAAATCTTTCCTGGAATCTGGCTACAGATGTTTGCATTTGAGAGCTCTTGAAAAATTCTGAATCAGGTGGAGGACCTTTCATCAAAGGCATCAAGTCTTCATTTACTTTAGAAGTATGATGAGCACAATTGAAATACGAACTTGCAGCTTGTCTGCGAAGTTCTGTAATTGTTGGATCAAAGTATGATGGCCCTTTAAAAGAGTCTAGATCTAAGCATTCTGCTGATAAGATCCACAGTAGGTTCCAAATGACACTAACACATTTGCTCATTTGACATGTTCTAGCAATACTGAGCATGTTATCGAGAACCTTCAAAAAGCTGCAGTTAAGAATTGGACAAGAACACCTTTGGGGACTTCCAATCCATGATTTCTTATCAAGAACATGAATCAAGCTACTAAGAATAGCTTCCTTCTTAAAGAAATCAGCCAGGTTTCTACAGTTAGCATCCAGAAGAGAGCTCAGCTGTAAAAGCATTCCATGAACTGAATTGACAGAAGCGTTCAAGTAGGAAAATCTAGACGAATCAGATGTCAAGCTCTGGTTGTCTATAGGAGGCAATTCAGAGGCAATATTTAAGACAACAATTTGCAATTTTTCATTAGACACAATACCAGTCAGAGCTCTAGATGCAAGAACCCGGATCCGAAGATTGTTTTGGACAGAGCACTTTCTGATGAATGGCATGAATAAGAAAGGGTCCAACGCATCACGAGTTTCAGATGTGATTGCAGAAGCTTTGAGCCGAGATAAAAGAATCAGTATAGGGCATAAACTGGGGTGCACTACTTTTGCCTGGCTGGATGATAGATTTTCAGCAGACCCATCCAAAAGCAATTCAGTTGCAATTTTAAGTTCATTAAATAAGAAACTGTGCAATGTGGGGTACCTACGAAGTTCAATCAAAGAATAGTCTCTATGCATGTTATGTTGAAACAACTAAAAAAAGGTATATGATTTATTTCTTTCAAATGAAGCAATTATGGGAACAGAAATTGACAAGGGTTTGAATTTCCATTTTAATACTGTATATACAAATAGAAAATTAAGCTGAACCAACTGTAGGGTGAGTAAAAAAACATCTGCATTTAATGCATCAGCTCAAATATGCAAGGACACAGCTAGATATGGTTCAGCAGACAACTGAAATGCTTGGAAAGACTTCTGATAAAATACACCCATAGCAGAAAGACTACAAGTTTGAAACCACATGAAGTGCTAGAATATAGAAAATTCATGAATCTGCAATCAACATCTGCTCTCCATATACTCTAAAGTCTAAAGCTAACAGGAAAATGCAAGGTAAATAACAAGAGAGCAAACTATCAATAAATTTGTAGATACTAAAATTTAGTTACCCAATGACTAAAAAGAGAGCAAACTATCAATAACAAGATACTCCCTCCGTTCCTGAAAACCTTTCTCCTTTCTTTTTTCATTCGTTCCAAAAAACAATTCTCATATCTATTAAAAAGTCACTTTTACCCATACTAATTCTTAACCTACCTATCACATCACATCTATTCACTATTAATCTATCTATCAAATCCTACTTTTACCTATCACATCCAAGAATATTTTTGGAAACTCAACACCAAAATACACTTCTCTTAATCCCTTAAAAATCACAATCTCCTGTTTTGTAGGGACAGAGGGAGTGTATGTATGTAGGGCTGGGTCGGGAATACCAAAAACCGAAAACCGAACCGAAATCGATCGAAACGAGCTAGAAAAAAACCGAATCGAAAAAACCAAAACCGAATGTAAAAAAACCGAACCGAACCGTTATTGTTTGGTTCCGTTTTGGTTTTTACTTTGAAAAACCGAACCGAACCGAATAAACCGAACTTATTTATATGCTTCATTTTATTTATATGAGTATATGTGATATGTATAAAAATCATATAAACAAAAATGCAAATAAATTACTAGTCGATTAAAGTTTTTTTCTTAACTACTCCATATTAATTAAACATTTTAACCATACCATAAACTTTAAAAAATCTAAGAATATAAACACCAATAACTAATCTCATATAGAATTATATAGCATTAAAAATTAAAATGAGTAGTTAACATATTTACATAAAAAACTTTGATGTTATAATGAAAATGAAAGTATTATATCAAAAAAATACAAATTCTCTGCAATTGATTTTACATACAATATCTTTAAGATTATTTAGAATCTTCTAGATGCTTGTTAGGCACTTGACTCATATTTTGTATGTAAAATTGAACCGCTGAGAACACTAGCCTTCCGTTTGGCTTTTTTTTTTGTGTAAAAATCAAGCTAAAAAACCAAACCCAAACTTACGTATTGTTATTGCTTCGTCGGGTTAGTATTTATACAATTTTTAATGCTTATAAATATTTACTTTTATAAACCGAAAAAACAAAAAAAAACCAAGATAAAAACCGCATAAAACCGAACCGAATAACCAACGGTTTACATATTTTTTATGCAAAACCGAACCGAACCGAACCGCCAACTTACCTTCCGTTTTATCTTTGGTTTTAGGTAAAAACCAAACCGCCAAAACCAAATGGAAACTCAACACCAAAATACACTTCTCTTAAATCCCTTAAAAATCACAATCTCCTATTTTTTTAGGGACAGAGGGAGTGTATGTATGTGTGTGTGTGTGTGTGTGTGTGTGTATATATATATATATATACTCGAGTGAGATGACACCTTACGGTGAGATGACATCCTACGGTCAGATGACGCAAAGCTCAACACTTCCAACTGCAAAGCTCACTAAGGACAACTACAAAGCTCACCAAATTGTAAGGCAAAGCTCACCATATTCTTTCAACACTTTGAATTTTTTTTGAAAAAATAAAATCAAAGAAAGGGGTGCTGACTGGACTTTGACCGTTGACCGAGACCTTTGACCGCCACCTGGCGCCGCCGGTCGCCAGAACCCGCCGCCGGTCGCTGGAATCCGCCGCATGCCACGGCCGGTCGCCGGAATCTGCCGCCTGCCGCCTCCGGACGCTGGAATCTGCTGCCACCACCGGCTTCCGCCCAGCCGCCGCTCGCCGGTATCCTCTGCCGCCGCTGACCGGTGGTTGACCGGTGTTTCTATTTTATTTTTTATTAATTTTAAATATTTAAAATATAAAAAAAAAGGTGAGTTTTGGTGTTCAAAGTTGTGAGCTTTACTTTATTTCTAGGTGAGCTTTGCATTGTCCATTAATGAGCTTTGTAGTGTAGTGTGGTAAGCTTTGCGTCATCTCACCGAAGCATGTCATCTCATTATAATGTATCATCTCACTGGAGTCAATCCCTATATATATACATATACATATATACATACATATATATATATATATATATATATATATATACATACATACATATATATACATATATATACATACATACATACATACATATATATATATATATATATATATATATATAAGTTTGAAGGCAATAAGGATGACAGTAAGATCATACCTATGGAAAAATTCAAGTCCTGTAAGGGCACGCCTAGCAGACTCACGTTTCTGCACATTGAGAAACCCAATCATTCGCCGAACAAGAGCAGCATATGCAAGGCAGGCACTGTTTCGCACTTCCCAATATGGAGAAGAAAAAGATTGAATTGAGACAATTACTGCATCTGCGGCAAAACCGGATGTATCAGTTGACAGGTTGGCATCATTGAACGCAGCTCTAAGGACATTGAAAGAGTGCACGGTAGGAACAACACCCTCATTCCTACTTTTTGAAATCATTTCCACCACAGCCCCATTAGGTACTAGTGTTGACCCAATGGACAAACTAGAATTAGAATCTGATGTATTTGTTTTAATTACATCTGTTAAAGAGCTCTTAGCTACATTTATTAGCCATCTCAATGCCTTGGGTAAAAGCTTTTTTGGTGCACCCTCGGGCTCTGACAAGAAAAATGCAGTAAATGCAGCAGGAATACCAGCACTTCTACGAACAAGGGCATCCACTGTTTGCCCTTTGGCAACCGTTCTCTCCATGAGGTGCTCCATCCAAGATTCTGTCAGTTTACATAGCCTACAAATATTGTGGCAATAAATTCAATAATTATTTGCAGTATGATCAAATGAGACTCCAGCATCTCCTGAAGCAACAAATTCTCAAATGAAAAACCAGAACCTATTCAAATGGATCATGCAAGATTTCAAGGAAGCTATGCGCCTATCAGGGCCTATGCCTATTCATTAATTTCTTGCACCCGCTATTGATGTTCTGATTTACAATCAGAATGATACTCTAGAAACTCAAGGAACAAATTCTGGTATGTAAAACACTGAAAATTGTGGAGTATTTAGATATTAAGGCTAGGCAGGTGCCGAGAGACAGGATTTATCGTGGAAGCAGAGGCAAGAGGAAAAACAATAAGGAAAAATGGCTAGGAAGGAAAACATGTTTTCGTTTTAATACTGAGGTATTAAGGAGTGCAATACACATATTTATATAGGAGATAGAGCAAAAGAGTTAGGAACATAAATGTGAATGTGAGTTATGTGACCTTTATGTGTGAGGGTAAATACATGTATTTATTTACACTGGTGACCCAAGTCCCAATTGTCATCACAATTGCAAGTTGTGACAGTCCCTTCGTACTTCACTCGGCCGTCTCTACAGCGTGAGACACGCAATGCAATGGGAGATAGGTTTTTCCCCTGTAGTGGCAACCTGTGACATTGCCAACTGACACCGTGGGGGAGCAAGCAAAGTATGATGGCATGATTGGTGACCGTGGTACCCATGAGAGCATATTGACAGCAGAGTTGCTGATACGATCAATACTATCATAGAAGTATTATTATTATTATTATTATTATTATTATTATTATTATTATTATTATTGTTGTTATTATTATTATTATTATTATTATTATTATTATTATTATTATTAGTATTAGTATTATAATTACTACCTCCGTACGGGAGTATTTGTCCAGTTTTGACTTTTTTTAGTCAACCGTTTTCAACTTTGGACCTATAATTATTTAAAATACATATTGTATATTAATTAGATAAAATAATATTTTGAAAATATTTTATATTATAAATCTATTAAACTATTTTTATATCAAAATCTAATACTAGTATCATTTTTATTTAACTTGGAGTCAAATCTTTACCAATTTTGACCAAAAAAAGTCAAGAATGGACAAATACTCCGGGACAGAGGGAGTATTTATTAATTATTAATACTATAATGAAGATTATTACTATTATTATTATTATCATCATCATCATCGTCGTCGTCATCATTATTATTATTAATTACTCGTAAGTATTAGTTGCAGTCTTGGGGGTGGAAACTAGGGGTGTTCAAAACTATCCGATCCAAAAATCTGTCCACGATCCGGGCTGATCCGTTCTAAAAAATGGATACCTCATCCGGTGTTTTAGCTTTTGGGTATTTCGGACCGGATATCTAAAAAAAGATCGGTTGTGGAATAGAACATTAAGATTTCGGATATCTGCTCTGAACTTTATATTTAAAAAAATTAAATATAAAAACTAAACTTTAACAACATAAGCTTAATTCAATTCTATCACAATAATTTCCTAAATTTAAGTCCAATTCAATTTTTATACTCTTTCATTTTTTAATGCATTATTTCTTTATTATGTGGATATTCTATTTTCTAGATATTTATAAAATTTTGACTCAATTAAAACTCTCAAGGTAATATGACACGGAAAACACTTCTGATTATAAATCTAAGGTTAATGTTCACTTCCACTATTTACAAAAAAAAATATGATCCCGAATATTTTTTAAGAATCATCGGGAAAAAATAATGGTTATTAAGGGGACAAGTCGAGTCGAGTCGGTAAAAAGGAGACTAGTGGACTAGTCGATTAGTCGGCCTACTAGTCGTAGACTAGTAAGACAAATCACAATTTGTATTGAAATTTTTAACATGATATAAATATCTTCATTGACCAAAGATCACTATAAATATTTATATGACGAAATATCATTACCAAAACAAAATTATGTTTAAAGGTAGCACATAAAGTCATATAACGAAGGGTACATAAGAAAAAATATCCTTCAATCTTTGAAAACAACGCACCAAGTACCAACAAAGATAACAAGCACAAAAAGAAGTTAAAGATAAAGAGATCTAACTCATGGAGGATGACGGCGAGAGAGGGAAGTTGGGAAAGATTGTCGCGATGTACTAACAGAATGAGGGAGGCGATGCTTTTTAGGAGTCTTTTTAAAAATTTAATGAAATTTGAGCTGGGTCGTGTTGGGTAAAATTGGGTTGGACCAAATTGGGTAGGGTGTCCATTAGCGACTAGTCGTTGCTTTACACGACCGGACGACTAGTCCACCAAAGTTGTTGGGCAACAAACAACTCGCCACCATCAAAACGACCAGACAACTAGTCGGTGCTTGGTCGTCGACCCTCGACGACTTAACAACAATGGATAAAAATAATTCTTAAAATAAAAATTAACTTCGGATATTCCACTGATCCCATCCGAAATTTTGAATACCCAGAGATTTCCATATTGAACATGGAATACATTTTGCTAATCCAAAAATTTTGGATATCCGAAAATTGAATCGGATCGGATTGTATATAACCGAATGAGCAGCCCTAGTGGAAACAGATCCTGAGAAGAAGAGGGGAAAGAAGAGGGGAAGGAGAGAAGGCATTTATCAAGTGACTGTTAAGATATAAACACACTCTTATCTTCACTCGGGTTAACCCTAGTATTCAAATAAGGAATCACACACTTATTTGATATAACTAGAACCTAAAACTCCCACTTAAGAGAACCACTCTTAAGATATAGAATTAGGATTTTCTTTATTGAATAAGAGAGAGTATTTGAGCTTGAAACTTGTAATATCACCTTAACAACTCAAGCTGCCATTACAAGGCCATATGGCCGAAGTATTTATACAACAAAATGGGAATAAGGATACAACAACAAAGAAGGAAAAATACAACAAAGAAAACTTCCTACTTCTTTCCTACAAATCAATGCCAAATCCATGTAATCCTTGATGAGTTGAATGAGGGATCTCCTTTGGTGTTTTGTGGGTAAGAATTTTGGCCATTATGGATCAAAACAAAGGAGGAAACATGTTGTGGCTTTCTCTTGGATTTATTCAACAGAGGGACAAAGCTGCACTATTCACTTTAGGACTTTGAGTTTGCTGATTTCGGCCCTTTGTGTAGGAAGTGATTAGGCTTTTGTTTTGTGTAATAAAAAGCTTTACACTATGTTTGGCTCAAGGATTTTGGAAAGAAAAGAAAAGAAAATGGTTTTCTCTCATTTTCCTCACCAAAATGGAAGGAATTTGGTTTTCCCTCCACTTGGTACATTTTGCCTTCCCATTTTCTTTTCCTTCCACTTTTCCTTTCTTTTCCCCTCTAACCAAACAAGAAAAATGGTTTTCCACTTCATTTTCTTTTCTTTTCCTTTTCAAATTCCTTGAACCAAACATAGTGTTAGGGTCTGTTTGGTATACGGAATTGATGGAACTGGAATTGAAATTTCATGAGATTCAATTCCATAGAATTGAATTCACCAATTCCAATTCATTTTTTGCACTATCAATTTCAAATCCACATAATTTTTGTGCTACAAAACACCAGAATTGGAATTGAAGTCCTCAATTCCAATTCCATAGTTTGAATTCCGTGTACCAAACGGGTTATTCTTTTTTGAAAATCAGGGGAGAATTTCAGCCGTATTTAAAAGAAAGTGAAGTAAAATCATTTGTGCCTCAAAATGAGAAAACATTCACTATTCAATTCCACTTCACTGATTTTGTCCTTTTGTGTGGTTGTTGTTCTCTCATGATTTGGGGATGGATTTTAGGAAGAAAATGGATGGGGACTTCGTCCTTTTGTTTGAAAATGAAGAGAATCACTTTATTTGATTAAATGAAGACTTTAAAAGAAAGGAAACAACAAACAAAGGTTCTGTTTTGTCTTTTTAGTGTTCATTTCAGCCAAGGCTTAGAAATGAATGTCAAAGACTTTACTTTTGGAAGAGAAAATGATTTTTGATGTTGTAGGAGAGGGTTTATGGGTTAGGATGTTCGGCCTAGGGGGGATTTTGGGCAATCAGGGTTATGGCTTGGGTTTTTGGATGGGGAAAAGGAATGAATTCAACCCAAAAAGGATTATAATGTTTAAACATCAATCCCTGATCTTGCTTACCATTTTGTGATGCATGGTGGGGTATAACACCGAACCAAAATGTTATGAATTTCTGCAAAGGCCCTTGTCACACATCGCAAAGACTGTGTGGGCCGAGCAGTAGGGGATTGAGTGAACTGTCAAGGGGGTGTTTTTCTTTTTACCTATGATGGGAGTAAGAAGAAGACAAGAAAGAGGAATTGGAGCTTTTGATGAGAACTCCTTACTCAAAACACTTGATCGATTTAGTAAAGCTCCAAGACATACTTTATTATTGACTGTTGAGACCTTAAATAGATATTACAATTGGATACAATAGGAAACAAGTTAACCGTTCTTGGTAATGAATTCGGGACTTAGGTAATAAAATCAATTTGATGCAAGACTGGTAAATAGTGTAGTTTCCATAATAGTGTCTTCTCTTACTAAAATGTGATGCTCACTGCTTGCTTATTCCTGCCAGATTTGTGTTTAAAATAAATGTCAAAGTTAGCAATTATTTGTAAATAGGGAAGTTGTTCTTTTGAACACTTGGAATATATTTCCATGCTTTTATTGCCTTCGGATATAAAGCATGTGATTAGGTTTGTTTCCAAATTGTTCGGTTTCCATTCTCTATAAATAAGCCTGTTAGAGTGTCTAGATTTAAACTAACAAATCGATTGGATTCAATCTTTTAATGTGGTTCAGTCTAAGTGTCTTATTGCCCAATCTAGTTGTCCATACCCCATCCTAAATTCTATCATGGTATCAAAGCCTGTTTTAGCCCACCTCGTTTGTCAAGGTGTCCGTCTAGACGTTCATTCCTAGTGGCCCGTTAGTCTTTAGCCCAGTTGTCCCTATGGAGGTTGTACCCAACGGCTTGTGGCCTGTTTAACACGATTGCTCGTCTGGAAGTCCATATCCAGTGGCTCGTGGTTCTTTAGGTGTTAGCGCTCATAAAAAAAAGTCAAGGGAATGGGAGTTCATTTGCAAGTGGTCAACTGGTTAGATTCAAAATGGCCCGGTTGTCCATTTGAGGGGGAGTGTTAGAGTACATCCCACATCGGAAATCCAAGAGTAAAATAATCAGTATATAAGCTCTAGAGTTGAACTAACTAATCGATTGGATTCAATCTTTTAATGTGGTCCAGCCCAAGTGTCTTATTGCCCAATCCAGTTGTCCATACCCCATCCTAATCCTAAATTCTATCAAAGCCTATGTAATCTCAATCCGTGAATTTATTTAAGTTCAGAAATCACAGTTTTCTTCCAGAAAAAAAAAAACTAAAACCTATTCATATTTATCATAGAAGGGAGAATGTGCCTTCTTTCTCTTGCAATGAGCCAATGACAAATGATTATAAGTAGAGCAATCAGATTTAAGACAGTAAAATACAGAAACAATGTTTTTTCTTTGTTTTTTTTGGGGGGGGAGGGGGCGCTATTTATTTTGTTTTAATTTTTAATGGTGTTGCTATGAGATTATAACTGTTGGCTGTTGCATTTCTGTGTTTCCATCATGAGCAACTTACATTCATGAGTAGAACAAAACATACCTTGGATCATCTGAACACAGCAGTCGGTTGCAAAGGGCAGTAAATCCTGCCCTCGTCTTATCAATAGCACCATTATGCTTCATTTTCAAAAGGACTTCTAAGAAATGGTTGCCAATTATCTCAAGTTGATTCAGGTCAACGGCCGTATAAGATGACAAATGCTCAGCACCATCACCATTTAAGAGACTAGAGTTTGGTACATCATAGGCGGGCAAAGGAACCTTTCTTATTATTGTTCCCAAAAGAAGACTAACCTGGAAAAGCATGAACAGATGACAAAAAAATATGATAACATCAGCCATTTCATATAACACTGGACACAATATCATATAAGAAAATGGCATCAAATCATCAATTAGATTTTACCATGCTAGGGTTTTTTTTAGAAAAAAGGTTTATTAAATAAGATGATCTAGTATATACTCTATGTACAATTTATAGAGAAGGGAAAATAAAATATACCTCTTTCATTGCAAGCCAGCAACCAACCATAACTATCTGATCAATAGGCCCATCATCTTGCTCAGCTTGAGTAGTTTTCATCTCATCAGCTGCTGTTGAGGTAGTCCCATCTGTCTCAGTCAGTCTCTCTGCAAAATGTGCACCATCAACATCCATCTCATCCATTTCATCTGGTAAGTACAATGCATCTGCTGCAACTACCCACAGGGCCAAAGATGTTATTCGCACAACGAGAGCCAAGATCCTCTCCACTAGAAGTTTCATGTTAGAGATATTGGAAACACCAGCAATGGAACCCCAATCAAATTCCTCAAACGCATATCGAAGAGTAAGCAGTATGCCATGAACGAAGCTATTCTTGCATGCTTCAAAAAGATCCTTCTCCCCCTCTTCAACAGAAGCACACAACCAATCAATAAGTGAACTTATGTATTCTATCGCAGGACTGCTTGATTCAAACTCTGGATTCTCCCCATTTGACAGCTCGGAAGAAGACTGTGCAACAACATTACATGAAGGCTTAACAAGCCAACCAAGTTCCACAACATATTTCCTGAATATGAGCCGGAAAGTCAGAGCACCTGCATCACTTTCTCTCACACGTGCGCTAGAAACAAGCTTCTTGGCCCATAAAATTGCTTTGTATACCAATTCTGGAGTGCCAATTCCAGGAACCGGTGTAGGAAAATGCAGCAGTATTCTTAAAGAAGTCTCCCTGAGCCGGTCCCAACTATCAACAATTGATCCAACAAGAAGCAAAGTTGATTTAGGTAAGACTAATTCCTTATGGTAAGGATATAGACTGATTTCAGAAGTGTACGAATCAGACTTTCCTTGGGGAGGAGGTATAACACACCAAACATTCAACATTATCAACATTAGCTCCATTGCCATTATCTTTCTCTCATAGGGAGCAGATGGGTAACATGAAGAAAACAAAAAGCAACTCAACCACTTCATAAAATTAAAAAGAGCTGCTGCTCTGTGTTTGGAGGTTTGCTCTGATTCTCCATTAAGTGGTCCAACAATCAAACCTTTACACACTGTAGGTTTCCAGGTGCCCAATTTAATTAGCCTTTCCAACGAAATCCGAACCCGTGAAAAGAATTTCCTGAACAAGCTACTCCACTTCATCTGAAAGGCGGTAGAGCAGCTCCTCATGTTCAATGGCACTGCTTTTCTCATCAAACTCAGTTCTAAAGGCGATGGTAAACTGGCAGTTTTTGGATTTAAGAATAAAGATTCTGCTGCATCCATGCGAAGTGAGTCATCAATATGTGTAAGTGCTAATACAAAATAATTAACTGGAATGTTAACCTCAATCCCCTTTATGCGGACAACAGAGTCAAGAACACCAGTGTCAACACTCAGCTCCTTTTTTTCTAAAGCCAATGAAGAATATTCAGGCCAATCAATGTCTCCTTCAATTAATGCAAGCATACGAGAAACCTTGAGCAGTGAAACCAAAACAGCCACTTGCTGTTCAACTCCCAGAACCATATCCTTAGAACCTAACCTNGCGAAGTGAGTCATCAATATGTGTAAGTGCTAATACAAAATAATTAACTGGAATGTTAACCTCAATCCCCTTTATGCGGACAACAGAGTCAAGAACACCAGTGTCAACACTCAGCTCCTTTTTTTCTAAAGCCAATGAAGAATATTCAGGCCAATCAATGTCTCCTTCAATTAATGCAAGCATACGAGAAACCTTGAGCAGTGAAACCAAAACAGCCACTTGCTGTTCAACTCCCAGAACCATATCCTTAGAACCTAACCTGGAATGCAAAACTTCTGTGCTCTCTCCACTGCATCCAATGCCAATAAAACCAAGCATTGGAAATATACTATCAACATCCAGTTCAAGTAAAGCAGGTAAAGCATATGTATTCAAATTAGAACGCAACCTGGCCAATCCAGAAGATAGTCCAGACAATATTGGAGGCAAGCATTGAGTTCTGTATTTCACATACCCGCCTGCAACACCATCACTACTCCAATACTCATCACGTAAGCACTCAAGGAAACACTTCAGGAATGTTGTTGCAGCACAACACACATCATCATCCAGATATGCCATTGTCGTATCAAATAACAAGTCAGGGCTCATATCTAAAATATTCTTTGCCCCCAATCTCTTAGTAAGGGAGGCTAATGGAACATATCGTCCCTTGCAGCGTGGTCCTAAGTGAAGAAGATCAGAGGAAATTTTCCTTAAGAACGAAGAAAATTTCTGACTTCCCCCTGCCCAGTGAAGGGATATCTGAATATCTAAGAGAAGTTCAAATATAAGGTTAACCTGTTTGACAGTTTGACTTAAAGGATCTTCCAGATTATTCCACAAAATTTTCAATATCCTTGTTCCAATCTCCTCTGAGAATGAATCATTGCATTCCTCAACATATCCATCAGTTCCCTGCATTAATGTTTTTATCTGCTGCAAACATATTTGCATCACCGTCAATGCATGGAAATTAAAATGGCTATCACTTGGATTCTCGCATAAATGACATAGCTCGGGAAGAATTTCATCATAAATAATTGTCTTAACTGAGCTGTCATTACCTCCAGAACCACTGGTATCATCACAACCATCATTTGATACTATAAAAAGGGTATTCAGAACTGTTCTTGAAACTGCTGTTAAAATCCCTCTTATTAAACAGAGCCTACTCAGTGGAGATAATGTTTGGATTTTAGAAAACAATGGTGATTTCCAAGGAATCGTTTTGGTCACATCCTTTAACTCAAACTTTGGGCATGAAACGGACATATGGTTAAAGACTCCTTCCATTATAAAGGAACCAAGATCTACATGGAAAAGACACACCTGCAGAGCAGCACAAAGGCAGACCCCAGCTGCCACAAGACAATCCCGGGAAAAATCTTCTGAACTCAAGACGCTTGTAACAGTAGTCATGATAGTCTCAAGAAGACTTGGTCTTTTGCAAAGTAGGAGGTCTTGACTGAAATCTCCATCAATGATTTTTGCAGGAAACCGCTGAAGCAAGTAGTACAAACATGAGAGAGCCTCTTGACACTGTTCCATGACAAGGGGTGAAGGCCTAGACCACTCACTGGTCTGAGACACTATATAACTCAACCCGGATACCACATCCATAGCCACAAAAACAGCCCATTCTTCAACAATCTCGACCATGTACCCCAGCTTTGGAGTGCTCATCATGGACAAAGCAGCTCGTGAAACACAAAACCTCTTCCCTTTACCATTCACACCTCCATACTCATTGCACAAATCTCGGAAGCTGTTTTGGACTAGAGCTTTAAAGTTTTTGCATTTAGATAGAACAGAAATCAAAGCTTTGTGCAGGGGAAGGGAATTCTCCAAAAAAAGAATCTCCAAGTAGAACCTCGAAGCCAAACAGATTGAGCCCTCGTCTGCATAGCCATCAGATAACAAGTCGGAAAAGGCTGCAGCCACATTCTTGGCATGGGTGAGTTGAGAATATGTGGAAGTTAAGGACGCCATATGTTTCAGTTCGGAGAAGAAGCGAGAGGATGGTGTTTGATCCAATGCCGATGTGAAATCTTGAGGAAAAACAACATAGCTGTACGTGTAACGGTGGCGGTGCTGCAATGCTCTCCATTTAGCAGACATGTTTAACCTTCGATAGAAAGAGCAAAAAAAACACCTCTAGTTAACCGAAGGATATAGCTCTGGTGCGGTGGTGCCTGCCTTCAAGCGAAAGGTTTTGTTTCACAATACAGGGTATAGGACAGGGACTTCTACCAGATTGGTTTTCGAGGAATCTATCAAAAAAATTGATTAGGGATGGCAATGACTCAATGAGGGTGCATTTCCTTAAGGTCTCATTTGATTGGACCTGCTATTTGATTTGATCTGATTTAAATTGATTACAATAATATTTAATGTTGTTTTTTATCTGATTAAATCTGATTTAATTTAAATAAATAATTGAATGGAAAAAAAATTGAACGATACAAAATCGGAGTTGGATTTTGGCTAGATGACGGATAGAGTTTCACCCACATTTATCCATTAAGTACAAATCCGTCATCCATCTTATATATGTTCTGCTAAAAGGATCATACATATATGCATCTTTATTTAGATATGAAAAAGAGTACTACTAATATTCCTAAATAGGAGTCAAAGATGATAACAATATCAAAATAGCGGTAGTACTCTTTTTATCTGAATAGTAATTTACATTTTCACTACCACACTACACACTGCCATCAGAACGCCATCATGAGTAGCCTGAAGCTCCACCGTCAATTACTGGCATTGGCCAGTGGTCTAACCATACTCCACTATCACATTTTCACTATTTACTCTATTATATTATCAATACACTGTCAAAACTTCTAATCTATGATAAAAATAATGCACTCATATTTTCATACCCCATTCTTTCTTCTTTGTACAAAGCCACACATATCTTATATTTTTCTTCTTTCTCCTTTGTTTGCCCCATTAGTTCTTCTCATTTTTTTCTTCTTCGTTTCAACCCACCATAGTAGCAAATCTAGTGTCGGGAAACAACGATTGGATAGGACACTGGATGTAATGCCCTAAAAACTGGGCTAGAATTTAATCAATAATTCAACAAATAAGAATTTTTATTTATGATATACCCCAGGTTACACCTTCACACACGCCACTAATATTAAAAGAAATCAAGTGTTTAATGTCTTGGTGTTATGATCCATTTTGGGTTGAACTCATTGATCCAGCCCACACCAAAACCCAAACCATGACTTATCTCTCCCAAAACCCAACCTAGGCCGAAATGCCTACAAAGCCCAACCCACTCCCACATATCCAAAGCATTTTTACTACTCAAATAAAGCCCTTTTCCTCTCCCTTGAAGCCCTGGCCGAAATTGAAAGGAAAGGTACAACCCAAAAATAATGTGAGTGTTGTTTTCTTCCCTAAATATTCCTTTCAGCAAATAAGAACCTTCCCCATCCCTTCCTGCTTCAAAATCACGAAAATATGCCCCCATTTGTCCTTAAAATCAGTCCCCATCCATCACAAACGTTCCCCACTACAAGAGGAACAAACCAGGGGACAAGGAATAAAACATGTCTTTTGTCCTGTTGTGATAATACATCAAACCCACACCCTTTCACACCCCTTATGCCCCTGGCCGAATTCAGCCCCCCAAATATCCCATTTATCACCTTTCAAATCCACAATAAAACCAAAGGAATAAAGGATAATCCTTAATGTGTTATTCCTCATGTGTGGACCAAAAATCCAGCCCCTCACCTCACCCTTCACATAACCAAACCACCCCCTTCCCTCATCCTTCACATGGCCGAAATCCCCACACCAAAAACACCCCATTTTCACCCTTTAACACTGATCAATGAGGACAAACCAAAGGCATCAAACAAATGGATATTATACACTTGATTCTAGGAAAGTGGTAGGAAGCTTCCCCTTAGTTTCTCCCCCTTATTTATTTCGGCCAAAGGCCTTGTAATGCAGCACCTGTTGTAATTTTATTCCCTTTACTCTTTGAGTAAAATCTCTGAATTAGTGTGAAGCTAGTTCTCCCCATTTCCTAATGAAATATCTCTAAAGTTGGCTACTTTTGAGTGTGTGTTAGGAGTCTATTTCATATAATAGTAGTGAATATTATTGTTTGAAAAGAAATAACCCCAAATAAAATAAGAGTGTGTTTATCTCTTATTCATTATTTGGTTTATCCTTATACAACCAGAAAACCACCACAAAACTCCCTTCTTTCTCTCCCAATTTCGTCCATCCCCTTTCCCCCATTCAAACACTTCATCTCTTCATCAAATACCACTCCATAATATTTCTTTTCTCCTGCCCTTCATTCTGCCATATCACCTTTTCCAAACAGCCATACTATCTTCACCATTTTATACTCAAACCCAACCTATTCTTCATCATATATTCCCCTCTATAATCTGCCCTTAGTTATCCATAGCCTTTTCCTAAGCTTGGGTACATCATTTGGTATCAAAGCTAGTTGTTACTCATCTCTCAAGGACCATACACACTTCCCCAACTCCCTCCCTAAATTCGGCCTAACCACATTCAACCCCTACTCCCACTTCTTTCCTTTTCCTCAACCATGTCAAACCCACCCCGAAGCATGTCTCATGAAGAACTCGTAGCCGCAAACACTGCCTTGCAAGCTCAGGTGGAATACCTAGCCAAAGAAGTGGCTAAGCTCACGAAGCAAAAGATGTCCATGTTACAAGATAGTGAAGATGAAGAGGAAGCTAGCTCTAGTAACACCATGAGAGCTAGGGCTCATGAAAAGTCCCATTCTGACTTCAAAGTTGATATTCCAATCTTTGAAGGAAAGAATGACCCGGATGAATTTCTTGAGTGGTTAGAGACAGTGGAACGAGTCTTTGATTTCAAAGAAGTCTCCGACGACAAGAAGGTCAAGATTGTGGCCTTAAAATTCCGCAAGTACGCCTCCACTTGGTGGACGAACACCTGCACCAAACGGATTCGAAGTGAGAAGCCTCTCGTTGACTCATGGCAAAAGATGAGGAGTCTCTTGAAGAAGAAGTTCCTACCCACTGAATATTCCCGAGAGAACTTTGCTAAGCTTCAAACGCTTAGGCAAGGTACGAAGTCAGTGGAAGACTACACCCGGGAGTTCGAGGAACTCCTACTTAGGTGTGACTTGCAAGAGAACGAAGAGCAAACCTTTGTAAGGTACCTTTTTGGCCTAAATCTCCAAATAGCCAATACGGTGGAGCTGCAAGGCTACACTACATTTGAAGAGCTCACTAAGTTGGCTCTCAAAGTTGAGGCTCAAATGAAGAAATCCAAAACAATTCTCTCAAGAAACCCTCCCCCTTACTCACGTCCCACATATACCCCCTCAAAACTCACCCCTACTGCCCACGGCCAAACCTCCGAACCCCAAACACCATCTAAGCCAAATTCTACTCCTCTCCCACCTAAAACAGCCCCTACAACCAACAAAAGAGCCCCCGTTTGTTACCGATGCCAAGGAACTGGTCACTACGCCAATGAGTGCCCAAACAAGAAAATAATGGCCTTGGTTGAGTATGATGATGAAGAGTACAATCCCGTATGGGATGAAGAAGTAGCCGAGGAGGAGGAAGAAGAATGTGTTGGCCCCCACGATGGTGAACTTTTGGTTATCCGAAGGACCTTAAGTGCCATACCATGCCCCGAGGAGCAACTACAACGGGAGAACATCTTTCATACCATTTGTACCATTCAGAAGAAGGTGTGTTCGTTAATCATCGATAGCGGGAGCTGCTCTAACGTGGTCTCCAAAACAGTGGTGGAAAAGCTACATTTGAAGGTATCCCCTCATCCCAAGCCTTATACTATTCAATGGCTAAACCAAGGCAAGGGCTTACGTGTTGACACGAGGTGCTTGATCTCGCTGAGCATCGGCAAGACTTATAAGGATGACATTTGGTGCGATATCATTCCCATGGATGCATGCCACGTCCTTTTGGGACGTCCTTGGTTGTTCGACAATAAAGTGCAGCATGATGGCTACTTGAACACTTATTCATTCCTTATGAATAAGAAGAAAATTACCCTCACTCCCTTACCCCCACCTTCCTCACCCACGGCCCAAACCAGCAACAACACCCCTCCATCCCTCATCTCCACTATACTCCAAACCGAACACCCCGAACATAAAGGATTCAAGGACCTCATTCTCCTTGATCTTGAGATGGCCGAACCCACTGCCCCTCCCAAACAGCCCCATCCTCTAGCCATCCCCATCCTTGAACAATATGCCCACGTCTTCCCCGAAGATGCACCACACGGCCTGCCCCCAAAAAGAGATATCCAACACAAGATCGACCTCATTCCCGGGGCTGCCTTACCAAATAAACCAGCCTATAGAATGAACCCGGAGGAAACAAAGGAGATACAACGCCAAGTGGATGAACTACTAGCGAAGGGCTTTGTTCGTGAAAGCCTGAGTCCTTGCGCTGTTCCGGCCTTGTTAGTACCAAAGAAGAACGGTACGTGGAGGATGTGTTGCGATAGCCGAGCCCTTAACAAGATCACCATCAAATATAGGTATCCTATACCTAGGCTCGAGGACATGCTGGATGAACTCCATGGTTCTAAGATCTT